GTGACCAATCGATCCGACGATTTCCTCCATTAGTTTCGAGTTCTCGGCGTCGAAGACAACAATCAATTTGTCGATCCATTTGATTCTGAAGACAACGGTTCCAAACAATCAAAATCAAACTCAACATATCGTCGATCAAAAATGTTGATTCAAAATACCGGAGGAATGCATTGATTGTGTGATAAATCAATGGTTTGCCACAAATAATGGTGTATTGTTTGGGAAGCGATGAGTCTTCGGCCAATCGTAGACCTCTTCCGGCGGCCGGAATCACAGCATAAGTCTTGATGTGATCACTGATTGCCATCACATCAGTCATCGCGAGTCAGTTACTCAACAATACAGCAAACAATGTGTAAGACTTAAGTCATGTGTAAGTCATGTGACTCTCAAAGGGCTCTTCACTTCATTGCATTCATTGAGCGTTTGTTTTGCTTTCAATAACAGCTCTCTTCAGCTCTCTTCAGCTCTCTTCAGCTCTTGGCATCACTTTTACCACTCATTTTGGACTCTATTTAACGCCATTTAGCATGAAATCTGACGAAACAAATGTCGGACATCTGGAAGAAGAGGCCCGCAAGAGGAAGGAAAGGTTGGATCGGCTGAAAGCCATGACTGCCAAAGAAAACGGTGACAATAATTCACACGATAGACACGCTTTGCCTAAGTATTCAATCACTGGATCTGTTATTCAATTATTGATTACATAATTATCTCTATCTTTAGACCAACTTTTCGTTCATATAATCCAAACGACGAGAAACTGAAAGAGAGATCTTTGCCGAAAGGAAAGCCGGAATCGGGTATTGATTTGGATTTGAAATTTAATTTTATTTTTCCGATTATTAATTGTTTTACTTCGTGTGTAAAGTCGAGGACCAAATCAAAGACCAATTGTCTGAATCCAAAGAAGAGCCAGTGATCGACGAAGTGGTAAGTGTTTTGAATAAATTGTTTGATTGTTATCATTAGTGATGATAATTGCTTTGACAGGACTTAACGAGTTTAGCGCCGCGTAAAGTGGATTGGGATCTGAAGAGGAATCTACAGAAAAAGTTTGATAAACTCGAGAATAGGACACAGAAGGCAATCGCAGAACTGATCCGTAAGTAAAAGACACCATTTGTTGGGTTTATAATTGATTNAGCGCCGCGTAAAGTGGATTGGGATCTGAAGAGGAATCTACAGAAAAAGTTTGATAAACTCGAGAATAGGACACAGAAGGCAATCGCAGAACTGATCCGTAAGTAAAAGACACCATTTGTTGGGTTTATAATTGATTAATTTGATTACAAACAGGAGACCGACTTCGAGAGTCTTCGGGAACCGATTTAGCGGCCGCTACTCAAGACTTGGAGTCCACACAAAAAGCCGACGACTCGGACGACGATTAATACCACTCTTTTTATATCAAACCATATCTTGAATTTAATTTCATTAATAAATCATTTTTAAAAATTATTTTCAAATATCCATCAATTTGTGATTATAGTCTAAAATCACACCATTTTAATGAGTTTTACTTATATTTCTATATTTATGTAAAATATTTAATTAAAATAAAAGTAATTGTGAAGTGATTTAATTGAATTACAATAATTGTATTTAATTATTAAATGTGTAATAATTTAACCAATAATTTAAATTTTAATTTAAATTTTAAATATTGCTGCAAAAAATGATTGAACCTTATTTTTGGTCCCATTTTATGCTATGATTAAAGCCTTATCTCAATAAACAATACACGTATAAAAAGGGCACACAATTGAGGGCCAAATGGTTTGAATCAATGCTTTTGTGTTTACAATCAATTGAAGCAAAACATTGCAAATGATGTCTAACTTAAGACTTTTCACAACCAATTGTTTCAGACATTTCAACCAAATCGCTGTCCACGACATCAAAACCGTAAGAGTTTCCCACAAATTATGCCGAAACTACTCGACAGTCAGTCCAACACAAGAGCCGACCAAAAGCCAAAGCGAAGAGCCGGTCATCGGAATCACTCCGGAATCACTTCCACTGGCCATCACTCGTGAGTTGCGAGACATGCATAAAGTGAACCCAAAGGTGACACCAATTCGTGAGGTATGGGTTGAGAACATGTCTTCAGTGGAGTCCAAGAAGTTGGCGATCGTATCACTGCATCCGTCTGTGTTCGGAGCCTTCCCTCGCGTCGATCTGATCCAAGAGAACCACAAATGGCAGACACTATACAAACATATTGACTGGAAGTGGTTGCCGGTGCGGCACGAGTTGTCGGGCCCTAAGAGTAAGCCGTGGCCACAGAAGGGCACCGGCAGAGCGCGTGCCAGAGGTTATCGGGCGCCGCAATGGATCCACGGCGCGTATGTGACGGGTCCTCGTGGGCCCAAAACTCACTTCTATT